GGAAAAAAAATGTATCATTTTTTTTTTTTTTGTATATCGCAAATAACTCAGATTTTATTTTTAATTCTGACTAAAGTTCTAATATACTTTAAACAAATATTTTCAACTTTGCAATTCAGTTTGTATAATTCTTATAAATATTAGCCAATGTTACAATATTTATAAAAATCTATTTGAAAACATTCAGTATTCCTCGAACATTTTGTTACGGTACGGGAAGTTCCAGCAATTTGCCTTAAGGCACGATGCCATATACCCCACTAGTTTAAATTTCAAATTATAAGCGGCTGTAGAGATATTAAATTACTATTTTAATTTCAAAGCAATATTATATTGCTATTATATATTTGTAATAACGTAAAATGTTTACAACAATGTTAAAAAATGACAATATGTTCAAGGGCAATATTAATAAAATAGAAACATAATGAAATGTTATAATCTTACATATCGCATTACAAGATGTAATGCAAATCAAAGTTTTTCATAAAAATAAAATGTTCACAGCTATAGTAGCTGTTTGATTGAAATATAAATAATTTGAATGTTCCCATAATTTTGTGCAAACTTTTTCAACTTATTTAATGCTTGCAGCATTTTTTGTTTTATGGTAACGAGATAATAGAAGAATTCAGTTTGAATTATATATTAAAAGCTACGGATTTGATTTCTTTTAGAGATAATTTTTTTACAAAATATCAAGTACAGTTTTATTAAATTAACAAAGAGTACATAAATCGACAATTAATGTGAGTTTCTAGTTATTAACATAATGCATGTTACTTATCAAAAATATATCCATAATCAATAGATTTGCCATAAAATAGATAGAATGATATATGTGCAATTTAATTGAATTAACTTTTTTATATAAATGAGTAAAAGAAGGGTACAATTTAAACGAAAGGCTCAATTATAGATTAACATATTTAATGATTATTAATTAGAAACATCTTTTACAATTTGTAAATAAAATAAACTGCTCATTTAGGATTGAGGGTTTCTATATAATGGTGCCACTAGTTTGCACAAATAATTATTTTAATAATTTACTCTTTATTAAAAAAATCTTAAAGAATCAGAGAACAAGAAAGTATAATAAATCTTAAAGTGGTAAGTGTGTTTTATAAAAAATAAAAGATCATAAATGTAAAAATATTTTTAATTGATTTATTAGTATAAAGAGTGAATATGTCACATCATTTGACAATGTTAGTTTTGACTTTTTCAAAAAAAATCTTTATGAAAAAAAAAAATTGAAGAAAAGAACTAATTACAATCATCTTACAATGATGAATGAGGCTGTACATAGTATAGTGCTCTGTTTTTATATCTGCATCCAGAAATTTATGTTATTTTTAAATAGCAAGTGCGAGTTCTATAACTTTAGAAACGTCAAATGTAAGTACTTTAATTTAATTTTTTTTGCTTGGTAAAAGCAACTCTAGTTGCATTTTCGTGAATCTGCTTAATAAATTGAGCTCCCTGACAAATTAATTAAGCCAATAATATGTAAAACATAAATGGTTACACGAAAGTTGAGATGAGGTTACAATTGACATAATTTAGTTCTAATTTACAAATGAGACATCTCTAAACTGATATTTAAAGCTAATTTATAATAAATTTATGATATGTCGCAATGTGTCGTAATGTATCAGAGGCACTGTGAACAGTCGAATAAACATATCGGTCCCCTCCAAAAGCTTGTTTTGAAGGTTGACAGAAACAGATATAGCTAACCTAACTTTACCGCAAAAATTGACACGCAATAAAACATGCATTCGGTAAATCTATATAGATGCATTATTGCAATGTTATCCTACCTCCTGACAAGAATGGCATAATATATTATATCCAAACAAAAGAAAAATTCACTTGTAGACTTCAAGGTCCCGCAATAACAGTGGCACAATATTTGCCTCAAACTATCACAGAACTGTCACTGCACTAAAATTCTAGTAATTTGAGTCACAATATTACTTAATGTGTAAAAACTGATATCAAAGTAACATTAAACGTAAAAAATTCTTAATAAAAATCAACACTACCAAACGGTAGACGACGTCAAAATGATATTTGTTTCCAATATGGCTGCCATTAGTGGATGTTAACATTTGGATTGTGTATGTACGTCGAGTAATATACACTAATGACTTTTGTCTTTCGGAAAACGGCATTGACCAATGTGAAACAATTAAATAGCGGTAATATAATTTATAGAAAAACGCATAAATAAATGATATATTCTAATCTATTATTATTGGTAAAATTAATTTATATATTATATCTAGATAGATATAATATACTACTGATATGATGTATTATATATCTAGATTGTTATAATATATTATATATATCTATATAATATATTATGTACATATACTGATATGATGTATTATATATCTAGATATATATATATATATATATATATATATATATGGAGGCTTAGTCCATATTAATACCAATTGTAGTCATAATAAATTTCATAAAATATTATTTATATTTCGTTTATTTTATATATGATTAATATCCACGACACTATGTGTTGTCATACTGATCGTTAATAAAACGTTATTGGTATTTTCTTATTGATAATTGAAAAGAAAGGTTTTAAGAATCATACATTTTAGGCAAATTCGACTAGGGAGAAACAAAAGCCGTGTCCGATCTGACACTTGAATTTCCTTTTGTTTTTCTCAGTGCTGTCACTATATGGGCCAATCTGTCCAGAGACATGTGATGCGTGTTGACAAGCCGCTATGCGTGTTGGCAACCCGCTACATCACTCCGCCCTAATGAAAAAGATTGTTTCGCATCTCTGACTGCCATTCTTGAACTTCCTTGTAAATTTCTTTTGGTTGAGATTGTGTGATAAATTGCCGTGTTGGCTTGTTGAGTTTGTTGATTGCTTACGTAGCCCTTCGCTGGTGAGTTAGCGGTTGAGTAGATGTGGCCCTTCGCTGGTGAGTTAGCGGCTGAGTATATTTGACACTTCGCTGGTGAGTTAGCGGTTGAGTGTATGTGGCCCTTCGCTGGTGAGTTAGCGGTTGAGTGTATGTGGCCCTTCGTTGGTGAGTTAGCGGTTGATTGTATGTGGCCCCTCGCTGGTGAGTTAGCGGTTGATTGTATGTGGCCCTTCGCTGGTGAGTTAGCGGTTGAGTGTATGTGGCGGTTGCCAAATTGTTTGCTCCCTGTCTGCTGCCATGGTGCTTATTATCGACTTATTTACCATGATAATAAGTGATTTATTGAGCACGTGTTGTTGTTGATCTTGAAGTGCGTGGTCGGAGTCTCAGTTGTATGCTTAGAATGCTCTTCGAATTATGGAAGTTGTGAGCCATTTATAATAATTATTTATATTTTAAAAATTCTTTTCTTAATAATTCTTGAGACTTGAATTTATTTTGTTACTTCTAAAAATGACTTGATCTTCTTACCTTCTTGCGAAATGTGTGTTACTTGTTCACTCTCGGGGTCACCAAAATATGGAGGCTTAGTCCATATTAATACCAATTGTAGTCATAATAAATTTCATAAAATATTATTTATATTTCGTTTATTTTATATATGATTAATATCCACGACACTATGTGTTGTCATACTGATCGTTAATAAAACGTTATTGGTATTTTCTTATTGATAATTGAAAAGAAAGGTTTTAAGAATCATACATTTTAGGCAAATTCGACTAGGGAGAAACAAAAGCCGTGTCCGATCTGACACTTGAATTTCCTTTTGTTTTTCTCAGTGCTGTCACTATATGGGCCAATCTGTCCAGAGACATGTGATGCGTGTTGACAAGCCGCTATGCGTGTTGGCAACCCGCTACATCACTCCGCCCTAATGAAAAAGATTGTTTCGCATCTCTGACTGCCATTCTTGAACTTCCTTGTAAATTTCTTTTGGTTGAGATTGTGTGATAAATTGCCGTGTTGGCTTGTTGAGTTTGTTGATTGCTTACGTAGCCCTTCGCTGGTGAGTTAGCGGTTGAGTAGATGTGGCCCTTCGCTGGTGAGTTAGCGGCTGAGTATATTTGACACTTCGCTGGTGAGTTAGCGGTTGAGTGTATGTGGCCCTTCGCTGGTGAGTTAGCGGTTGAGTGTATGTGGCCCTTCGTTGGTGAGTTAGCGGTTGATTGTATGTGGCCCCTCGCTGGTGAGTTAGCGGTTGATTGTATGTGGCCCTTCGCTGGTGAGTTAGCGGTTGAGTGTATGTGGCGGTTGCCAAATTGTTTGCTCCCTGTCTGCTGCCATGGTGCTTATTATCGACTTATTTACCATGATAATAAGTGATTTATTGAGCACGTGTTGTTGTTGATCTTGAAGTGCGTGGTCGGAGTCTCAGTTGTATGCTTAGAATGCTCTTCGAATTATGGAAGTTGTGAGCCATTTATAATAATTATTTATATTTTTAAAAATTCTTTTCTTAATAATTCTTGAGACTTGAATTTATTTTGTTACTTCTAAAAATGACTTGATCTTCTTACCTTCTTGCGAAATGTGTGTTACTTGTTCACTCTCGGGGTCACCAAAATATGGAGGCTTAGTCCATATTAATACCAATTGTAGTCATAATAAATTTCATAAAATATTATTTATATTTCGTTTATTTTATATATGATTAATATCCACGACACTATGTGTTGTCATACTGATCGTTAATAAAACGTTATTGGTATTTTCTTATTGATAATTGAAAAGAAAGGTTTTAAGAATCATACATTTTAGGCAAATTCGACTAGGGAGAAACAAAAGCCGTGTCCGATCTGACACTTGAATTTCCTTTTGTTTTTCTCAGTGCTGTCACTATATGGGCCAATCTGTCCAGAGACATGTGATGCGTGTTGACAAGCCGCTATGCGTGTTGGCAACCCGCTACATATATATATATATATAATATTATATCTATCTAGATATATAATATATCATATCAGTAGTAGTCTCATATTTTTATAGTTACATTATAAATGAGAAATAATATTTAAAAAAAATCCCGATGTACATTTAGTTTTTATTTTTACAATGCATGAGTTTTTGTATGCCTATTCAAATCATTTGCTCTAGAATATCTTTTATTACACATATTGCATCCAAAGGGTTTGTCAGAGCTATGGGTAAGCATATGCTCTTTTAGATCAGCATTTGTTACGAATGAACGAGAACATGTTTCACAATGAAAGTTTTTCTCTCCAGTGTGTCGTTTTATATGCACCGCCAAACAGCTTGATTGTGTAAAGCCTAAAAAGGAAATTATAATTAAAATTGAAGTGATAGAATAAAGAGTATACAATAACCGTAATAAATATAACATATAATAACCATGCATTTCAAATTGTACAAATTGTACAAATTCATACATTAATAAAATAGGACTATGAATTAAATTATTAATTTAAAAATTCTATGATTCATAAAACTTAATACATTTTATTATTTATTTCTGCAATATATAAAACTGGATTAAAATATTTAACCAGTGTATTCAAAGTGGTGTATTTTGAGAAATTTGAATTGATTATATTCAGGTATTTAATAGACAGTTAGTGAACAAATAAATAGTAAATAAAATGATATTAGATAATGAAATACATTAAATCTTGAATGCTCTTAACAAAATGGCCTTTATCAAGCTATTTACCTTTATTGCAGATACTACATATGTAGGGTCGTTCGCCTGTGTGGCTTCTCATATGAACAATCAAAGTAGAAGAGCCATTAAAACCTTTATGGCAAATTGTGCAAGCATGACTCTTTTCACCGGTATGGGTTCTAACATGTTTTGTCAATTCATTTGATTGGCAAAAGGCTTTCTGACATACAGAACAGACATAAGGTTTCTCTCCTGTGTGAATACGCCCATGTGCTATGAGGTTACCTAATAAAAACAAAGTAAATATATTGATACTTTTTTTGACTAATGGAAAAGATAACAAATGGGAGCTAAATTACAAAAATATAGAAATAAAATAGGTCATTAAATATGTATTCATGCTTCAGACTTACTGGAAGTAGAGAAAGCCCTTTGACAAACGGGACAAACATGCGGCTTCTCCCCTGTATGTGTGCGCATATGTTTTTCCAAGTCTTGCGCCTGTCTGCAGGCTTTATCGCACACTGAACAAACAAAAGGCCTTTCATCAGTATGCATTCGCATATGGACCTGCAAAAAAGAGTTATATACATCTATTAATACTGATAAAAAATGTTGTTTAATTTTGATCTCAATAAATACCTTAAAGTTTCCACTATGAGAGAAAGCTTTGTGACATACTTTGCATTTATAAGGCATTTCCCCTGAGTGAGTTTTAACATGTCTAGTTAACTTTGAAGCAGAACTAAACTCCTTAAAACATATAGAGCATTTAAATCCATCATTCTCATTTGTAGATCTTATAACACCTTGCAAAGATTTCCTCTTGATCATTCGCATACTGTTAGTACTTGTATTTTTCATTATATTATCTGGCATTTGCGCTACTGACTGAACAGGAGCATTATTTAGAGTTACCACTTGTCCTGCAGAAGATACTGCAAGAAAAAAATATAAAAAAGGTGGACAATTAAAAGATTTTATATGATCAAATACCTGGCAATTGTCCAATTAGTATATGTCCATTTGGATGAACTGTGTTATATTGAGCTGATGAAACTGGAAACTGAACTGAAGGCACATGTAAACCTTGAATGCTGTATGATTGTAAAGGCTGAAGAGAATTTGATTGTGCATACAACTGTTAAATAGAAATGTTATTATTTAGAATAGCAAAGCAATTTTAAAGATAATTCATTAAATATTTTTAGCACTCTTGAGTTATATAATTGAAAATAAAGAGGGCTCACCTGTGATGAAACTGTTTGTAAATTTTCATAATATTTAGGCTCGCTTAAATTATCTAGAGCTGGGGTGCATTCAACATAAACACAACCTTGATTTTCTTGAGGAGGTGCAGTTTGCTGTTGTTGTTGTGGCTGTTGTTGTTGTTGCTGATGTTGAATTTGAGACATTGCTTGAGGATTAATTATATATTGTCTGAGGCGTGCATCTGAACGCTCACACAGCTTTTTAAATTGGAAGGCTATATGAAGCTTTGCAGCACATTTATTACAAATTTGAGGTGGTAAACCATCATTTTGCCAAACCTTCAATAAATCAATATGTGATAATTGCTTTATTACAATATTTTTAAGTCATTGATCTGGGCATTACCTGTATTGAGGCACAGGCCATTAATTTCTTCGACATTTGAACTTTAAATAAAGACATCATAACTCCTTCACTACAACATACTCGGCAAATTTTATTAAAATCCATTTCTTCAGTAGTCATTTTATCACATATAGTATAAAATGCAATAAACTGTAGAAATTAACAACTAATATGAACCAAACGTTGACAGAATATAGTATGACAAGATTATATTGATAATAAAATTCTTAATTTCAAGTGATAATCAATAAAACCAAAAAAATAGGCCACAAACATTTATATGTTGAAAGTTCTTTGTAAGGTCCTATGTCAACAATGTCAAACGAGAAGGTTTACAAACAATCCCTTGCGCCATGATTCAATGTCGCCATCACTTAAACACAAAAATTTTCCGTTAAACCTGAGTCTCATGCACATCGGTGACTTCTGACATATTAACAGAAAATGTTTTAAAAAGTTACTAATAAACTAATACTTGTTTATCTATGAAAGTAATACTTTATGACGCCTATAACTTTAGTGTAGGGGTCACCATTATAGTTATGAACACATGGTAATCTAATGTCTTATTTTTAAATGAAAGATATGAGTTTCGTAAAAATGTAGTATTTCAAATGTGCGAATGGTCGAGGTTGTTAAGAAACGGTTGAGCCCAGAATAACAATTCGAGGTTTTCAAACTTCAAGTTGGTCGTAAGGGTGGAGGATTTTTTTTTCCAAAAACTGATTTCATTTTAGGAATCAGCGCCTCGAAAACTATCAGAATGGGTCAAAATATTTGGAAAATGGCGAAAAAAAATGTTCATTTCATTAGTAAAATTTTAATTTTGCAAACAAAGATTTCGATCTTTCGCAGAGGTATGTAGATTTATCCACAAATGAACAACATTGTCGAATTCACCGATTCAAAATTTATCAAAACCAATCTTTGAAGAAAAAAATCGATTTCGCGACCAAAGATTTCGATTTTTCGTAGAGTGTATGTGGATTTATCCAAAAATGGATAGCTTTTTTAAAATCAGCGCCCCAAAATCTTTTGAAATCAGTCAAAACATTTCGAAAATTGCAAAAACAAATCCATTTTTTTTGCTAAAATTACGAAAGACTTCGTTGTTTTACAGTGGTGCACGCCCTGAAAGCTCATCAAACAGTATAATTTTGTCATTTTCATCAAAAAGACTTTGACCAATTAGTTGTTCATTATATTTTTCCTTTACTATAGGGAGACCCAGAATTTGTTTCCTTTTAAGGCATTCTTACAAGTCATAAGCACCCGTAATAAGAATAAAAAATTATTCTATATATACCTAAAGTTTTAACTTGATATTTTTATATTCAAATTAAGTATGAATATGATAAATATTAATTTAACAAAAACATGAATATATTAAATATCAAGTTCAAGTCATGGACTATTATGAAATATTCAAAGATATCTATCTACGAAGTTTTTGTCGTTTTATTTTTATGAAATATTCAATCCATGGATTTTTTTAATAAAGTTTTTACCGTTTTATTTATATGAAATATTCAAAGATATCCACGGATTTTTTGACTAAGTTTTTGTGTTTTTATTTTCAAATAAAATATTCCAAGGTATCCACGCATTATCCACCAATTTTTGGATATCTTTGAATATTTCATAAAAATAAGACGGCAAAAACTTTGTTAAAAAATCTGTGGATAGAATATCTTCGAATATTTGATATATCCATGAATTTTGGGAAACATTACTTTTTTTTGACATTGTTCGGATATTTTATACCCGTAGGTATAGTATCCCTCATCGGTTTTGTAAACAAAGTCATAATTGTAAACATGTCATAATCGTGTGACAATAAAAATGAAGACTAGTAATATAGTTTTCAAGTTCAACAAAGTCTTTCTCAAAGTAGCAACAGTGCCACAGTGGAACATGATCCGAACGGAATAAAGAAACATCGATTTTTCGTGAAATTAGGTATTTTCTAAAAGTAATTTGCCTCTGTTTTCTCAACTAAACATTGATTAAAACTTTGGTCTGAAATTGACCAGAATAGCTAAGCATCAAATATTATAATCTCTGAAGCAAAAACGAACAAAACTCTCGAAATTAACCCGAAACACTATATTTTTGCTTCTTATTTATATTTATTAAATTAATAATTAAACACAAGTATGCTGTATGTAAAATTTGAGGAGATGTTTGTACTCATTGTGATCTGTCATCGTTGAACATTAACAAAGAAAACAATTATCACTAAAAAATTGATCGAGATATTCCGAAGGACTCACTTTGACGCTCTGAAGGAGCGTTACTTTGACACTCGGAAGGTGTCTGACCAAAATTTATAATACTATTTTTTCCAAATGTATGTAGTATTAAATTTGATAACTAATACAAATTTTGTTTTCATAATATACTGAAATTGCATTGCAACTAAATGCAATTAATTAATTACAAATTAGTAGTTAATATTTCACTGTGCAAGAAATACATTTGTTGCTGAAGTACCTGAAATAGATAAGACAAACTACAAAAAAATAATGTACTCAAGTAACAAGTTCTATTTTAAACATATTAAATCTTGAATATAATTATTAAAATATTGATTATGTATTTTGATCAAAATTTTGCTATATATACAATAAGGTCTAACAAGTACTGACTAGTGACAAAACCTGCTATATTTAACCAATATTATAGGAAAAATAAATTATAAAATGAAATAAATACAACCACAATGATTTAGAAAATATGCGTATCGAACATGCTACCTGCGTCTTTCACCTTTTTGAGTCTTCCTTTTCTCCTTTTTTTCTTCTCTTTGTTGTTTTTGTTTTTCTCTAGAATAACAATAGTAAGAAATAATATAAAAATCACATGAAAAAATTGTTTGTTATAGTTTAAAACAGCAGTGTCCAACATCCATTCAAATTACCTGTCTTCTTTGTCTTTATCCTTCTTTTTCTGGCTTTCAAGTTTTGCCTGCTCTCTTCTCTCTTTATTGGCTTGAAGAACATCAGAAACGTTCGTATTTTTCACCAGATCACATTCTGCATCCGACCCTGATGCTTCTTCATCTTCACCCTGGAGTTAGAACAAAATCCTTTAGTGGCATTGCTTATTAGCTTTGAAGCAGATGGCTAACTACTTCTTGTACTGTGATTAAAGTTAGCATCAAATATTATTTCTTTATATATTGAATATCAACAACACACCTCGTCTGACAACTGACTATATTGTGCTAATACTGCTTCTCTAATACGAAGTTCATCTGCTGTATATTGTCTCTGCACCGTTGTTGCTAAAGTTTGAGATTCTAAAAGACGTGCTAATCGAGTATCGACATCTTCAACTTCTGATGCAAGTTTCTCCTCCTGATTAGGTCTTGTACTAATCCATTTATCAACTATCTCCTTTACCACACTTGGTATGTCACTGATCTGCAAATAATTTTGGATTGCCAGAGGGAAACAAGCATATCTGTTACTAGTTAACATGAAATAGTTTAATGCATAATTCTTCATAGTCATATTTTTGTGTAATAACAAATATATCTTAGAATCAAATAGGTATATTTATCTTTCAAAGGTATACAACTCTTACAATTATTTCTGACAAAATTCCTTCTAGAGCTTCAACTTTTTCTTCATGACTTTCATCGCCTTCGAGAATTCCAGTAATGTAAGAGCCAAAAACAGTTTCATCAGTATTAAATTTTTGCAATTTGTCATTTAGCCAGACGCTGAAATTATCACCCGCTGCTGCCATTTTAGTGAATTATTTTAAAAATGTTTCGTGCTAGCGGCAAGAAGGCCGCTTGAGGACTTTATTCATAAGTTACAAATATGGAAATTGTTGTTTTAACATGATATAATCCCGATTTCACACATTCTGAAAAAAGTTCCAAAAATAATCTATTTCGAGTTGCATGAGATTCGACAGATCGAGATCGCATGTGTTACCGCATTTAATCTTCTTGTGGTATGTTATTGCTACTATAAGAGCGGTTTATTTAAAAATATAATTGTTTTTTTTTATATATAATTACATCAATATACTTTACAGTCAACCAATTAATATTTAATCATATTGTTTTTCATTTATTAATTAACTAATCTAACTGATTGATTTGGGCAAATTTTCGAAAAAGCAATTTCTTGTTATAGGATTAAAATCAATGAAAATAAGCCATTTATAGTTATATTTATAATACATTACGTCATTTTAATAATTCAGCCATTATCATATATTATTTACGAATGTATATAAAAATAAATATATTTATGTTTAAGTAATTTTATGACACCTTGGGAAATTTATTTACCAATATACCCTTTTCTAACCTATAAAATACACGCACTTATAAAAATATTAAATAAATAATTTAGATACAAAATCTTTAAAAAAATAATAAATATATACAAAATATTATAAAAATGTCAGATTCAAGTAGTGAAGATGATGAAATTTTACAAGAAAACGATGCTGAAAGTAGTGATAGTGATTCCGAAAACAATTTACAGAATCAAGGTTAGTAGTATCTTAATAATATTAATCATAATTGCAATACTTTTCAATAATCATCTTTCTTCAATATGTTAATTAGAAGAATATGAAGATGAATTGATTAAAGCAATCAAAGAAGCACAACAATTCCAAAGAAATCATCCACCCGATATAAACACAGAAGAGTTTAATGCTGATATATGTTTTCATCCCAAAAATGATTTGTTAGGGGTAGCAAATATGTTAGGAGATATACAAATTTATAAATATAGTACAGATGCAAATGAACTTATAGCAACACACGAATGCCATCTAAAATCATGTCGTGATATAGAATTCAGTGATGATGGTAATATTCTATATTCTACTGCAAAGGTAATATAAAATATACTATGTAAATTTGCTTCATAAAGAAAATAGAAGGTGCATTTGTAATAAGTTGATAATACATGCAAAATTGATTGAAATTCAGATTTATCATAAAGATTGTTACATGTTTGACTACTAAGTAGTATATCAAATTCGTTTGATAATTTTATTAAATGACAATAATTATTTATTTCTAATATATTTGTACAATAGGATAAATCAATAGTTTTGACTGATGTTGAGAGTGGTAAATTTATACGAAATTATGAAGAAGCACATGAGGTGCCTGCTTATTGCCTCACAATTATTGATGAAAATATATTTGCTACAGGTATTACATATATTCTTTATTTTTTATTTATCATGTTTATCGTATAAAGATCCATTATTCACATAGGAGATGATGATGGATGTGTTAAAATTGGGATTTAAGAGTCAAAGAGCAAGACCCATTTTTTTCTTTAAAAAAGTGCGAGGATTATATTTCTGACATGATAACTAATGACCACAAAAAATATTTAGTCTGCTCAAGTGGTGATGGGTCACTGACAACAATAAATATAAACATGAGGTACAAAACTAATGATCAAATTACTGTATATAAAAATAATATATATTTACATTATTTGAATGATTCTTACTTAGAAAAATTCATGTGCAATCAGAAGAATATGAGGAGGAACTTACTTGCTTAGGACTTTATAATTATGAAACCAAAATTGTGGCAGGTAGCAGTAAAGGACGCTTGTATAGTTTTAATTGGAATGAATTTGGATTGCATTGTGATTCTTTACCTGGACCTAAGAGATTAATATCTTGTTTAATACCGGTAACAGAAAATATTGTAGTTTCTTCTGGGGAAGATGGTATACTTCGTGCAACACATTTGAGCCCTCAGAGACATTTAGGAGTGGTAGGGCAACATAATTTATTTGTTGAATCAATGGATATATCGAATGATGGAACCATAATTGCTTCGTCATCTCATAATAATGATATTAAATTTTGGAATATACAATACTTTGAAGATTATGAAAAGGCAAACACTAAAGAAAAACACAATAAAAAGAAAGAAATGAAGAAAAATTTACCCTCTAGCAAAATGAAAGATGCTTCGGATTTCTTTGCTGGATTTGCTGCATGATCGTTATTAATTATTGATTGTTGGGTTTGGCGAATTAAATATTTTTGAAGATAAACCATTGCTGTATAACTATAATGTTTACTTCTCAATATATATATATTACATTTCAATTTATAAAATAAACCTGTTATTTATCACAATTTTTTTTATACTTCAGAAACTAGGACACTATTTTGAATAATTAAATATTTTTAACTTAAAACAAATTTTAATTTAATCATAGCGTACTAAGTAATTCAAATCAATGATCATGATATAGTTTTTAATGGGTGGAGGTAGCGGCAATTCATCAACGACTTTATTAAAAATTTTAATAAATCTGGAAGAAAACATACATAGTTAAGTTAAAATTCTATCCCTAAAGATAATTAAGCTTAATAATAGTTGTGTTTCCAAAAACCTTCATAAATCTTCATATTATACTTACGTCAACTGCTTATAAACAGGCCAGCTAGAAATTTCCTTTGATATTTTAGATTCTTGTGTTTTTTGTTCTTTTTTCTGTTGGTAAGTAAGAAAAACGTTTTGACCGTCATCAGGATCTAATAGCAAATGTCGCGCTAAATTTTGATTTGAAAATGCATAGATTGATTCCATTGAATCTGTTGTGTCTGTATTTGGGGGGCTGTCCAATGTTGAAGAAGTGAATGATGTAGAGGACGAAGATGAAGATGAAGATGATGAGGGTAATTTCTCATCATCTATGTCATCTAGAAACTCTAATTCGTCCTAAAATGAAAAATTATAATTGATAATTCAGATCAGTTCACAAATAATTTTAAAGTAATGCATACCTCATCACTACTACTTTGAGAAGTCCCAAAACGTTTTGATTCACTCTCATTATCAAAATCTGAAGACCGTTTTGGAGCCTTTCTGAAGAGAAAATTGGTAAATAATATGGAATTAATAAGAATATATTATAAGCTCACCTTCATGTGAACAAGATGCATTATTTATGGTTGAACTATCTTTGATTAAATTTTTGCTTATAGTTTTGCATTTGGTGATTGATTGTTCAGCTTCAACATTTTCATTATCATTCCAGTCTGTAATATCTTGTTGCAAATCTATTAATTGCCAATTATTAGTTGTATCATCAGTCTTATTATCTTCATTTTGAGGCTGTATATCGTCATTATTTTGATTATTCCCAGTCCCATTCTGTCCCTGTCTTTCTAATACCAAATCTTGATGCCTTCTAATAAATTCATGTCTAATGGATTCTTGATGCCTTCTAATAAATTCATCTCTAATGGTTACATTTTCTAGTAACCATCGGAATCGATCTCGAAACCTAGCAATATCCATTTCTAGTTCTTCAAGTGACTCAACTGGATTTTCATCATCTGACTATTTTTAATAATGCATTTTATATTCTTATATATTTGTTATAAATAAATGAAAAATACTTACTTCCATGTGTTGGGCTTGATTATCTTGAATAATGTACTTTGTACATGTAGAACAATTATTCATGTGCTCACTTTTAATAGTTTCTGCAGAAATTTGCAAAAATAAGTAATAATAGTAACAAATATTTATAAATACATTGCATAGATGTTTATAAAATTATTGACTGAACTGACCTATATCTTTTTCAGACATATTGAGTTGAACATTATTTTTTCTTAGCTGTGTTCCATTTTCACCATCTGTACTATTGCTTTCTATAATAATAATAGTAATTATCGTCAAGACTTAATTACCTTATTAAAATTTGTATAGTCATGAAACCAACCATGCAAATTTATTATCAAAACTAAATCAACAAAGCAAAGAACTACTTTTAAATGATATTGCACATATTTATTTAGGGAACAGAAAATTTAAAATACTCACGAATTCTTCTTTCATATACAAGATCAGCTCGAATACATGGCACTTTGGAAAGAAAAATACTTTTTACCTCTTTGTCTTTTAACTTTTCACTTGTATCATTGATATTCTGAAAATCTTTATCAACTGAAATTCTGGCTAGTGTTTCTTTTTCTATCAAGTCTCGAATGCTCTTTCTGCACGATTCTCTTAAAGTCAATGGACAACCAAAAGCTACAATATAATATTATTCAAAATTGATGCAAAGCATTTTGTTGAATCACATACTTACGTGCAATATTTCTAACTCCCGCTGGATCTTTTGGACTTTTTGAAACTAAAGATGCAAAAGATACTCCAGTCACTAGTGACGAATGGAACAGTTTAGAAGTCAATCGTTGTATCAAGCAAAGACAATTTGATATAGGTAATATTAAACAGCCTTCAACCTGACATTATTTTTTAAGTAAAATATATTCAATTTAATTTAAGATTAATATTACAATATTTTTTTATTTTACCTTAAGAAACTGTTTAAAATAGTTAGACATAACTTCTGTACATTTAGCTCCTACATAGATTCTGTCATATAACATGTTAGGAAGTATCGCAAATGCATCACCTACAAAACAATAATAATTGCAACTTAAAATATCATTGCCTATTAGAAAATGAATGATTTGCATTTGCTACTAATAATAATATTTAATTATTTATGCTATATTTCTGATGTTTCTTAATGATTTAAAAATATATTATTTAAAAATAATCACCATGTGTAAGTGTAGGTCTACAAAAACTAGTATTTTTTATCTGCGGCAAAGTATTTGCCATGAAACTATCAATACACACTTCGGCATGGGCTATCACATCTTTATTTATTTCTATGCCATGATTTATACCGTATTCCCCGACCAGCAATCCAACTATGGTGTTTAGGTAACCAGTACCTGATCCAATATTTAAAAAAGACATGCCTGGCTTTATTTGTAAAGTTTCTAGCGCAAAACTGTAATATATACAAATGGTGATAATCTAAATAGAATATGAGCAATAATTATATTTAAATTCATGAGTATTAGGATTAGTATAAGATATACATGTTAAGATAACAGAAGTGTTATGAATGGCATAGACAAAAATTATATAAATCATTTGACTTAGAAATTTGCAGTATTTTAAATACAATCAAACAAACTTCCATTCCAAGCGTTAGAAAACATTTTAACCAAAATTATAATTAATTTTGAACATAGACTCTATAGTGAAATTTATAAAGGGTATAAAGCTTTAATAAAACTTTAGATATATATGTTATTAATTTTAAAATAGTTTTAGTTACCAATATATTGAAGGAGCTGAAAGATGTAAGTCGTTATACTTCCAAGCACAGTCTGCATAAGCAAATTCTCTTTTTGAAGGTGATACATAATCTCCTCTATCGACAATTCTAAATCCATCAGCAATTTCATTTGATTGTAAATATTTAGAGGCTATCAAGTTCTCCACTAATTCACGATTGTTTGTAGCAGTACTCACATTGTTACCCATTTTTTAATTTGTCAATTTTTTTTTAACAACATGGATATGGATGGCTACTTATAACTGAACTAAAACTTCATAAATACCTTGAATTACAGCAAAGTATTTGACAATAAATTGTACTCAAATGGTTGTTATTATTAATTCACCATAATCAAAATATGCATTTCCTTTTGTTATCATAGTACATTCTTACTTAAGGTAAACAAATATTTTTTCGCAATAAGACATTTATATCAGTTAGTTGCTCGCTGACAAAAAAATTTAACGCTTTTATAATTGTAGTTGCAAAATAGATGAATATTGTAATAAAATTTGTGACAAAGTAAAATCAAACTGCAATAATATTTTAATAATCAATTTTCTCATAGATGGCAACCCCGGTTTGTTCCTGTGCTCTGAACATGCTCTGAACGCTCTGAACATACATAATGGTGTTTTTGACAGTTCTCGATACTGGATCATATGTTTTTAATATGTAAAATACGAATAATTGAATAATTAGTATTTAACACAACAATTAGAAATATTTAATATAAATTCATTTTGTTAATTAATTGGACAAAATGAATTCAAGTGTGATAATTGCGAAAAAGAGCCTTTCTCAAGTTTATTGTAAGTACCTAACCTATATCTTTCATTTAAGAAATTTTGAACTACAGTAGAACCTCGATTAACCGGACTAATTGTTGTTCGGATAATTGAAAATCCGGATCATCGGATGTATGAACAATAATGTTGTGTATCTATTAAAAATAAGAAATACATACCTAGATATCAACGAAAATTAATGTTTATTAAAAATTGAAGCTTCTTTATGTATGTACATATATATTCATGCAAAAATTCGACTTGTAGGTATGAATATACATTTAAGTTGATCGCCGTTGGGAGTCCAGATAATCGCGAATCCGTATAACTGAGGTCCGGATAAACGAGGTTCTATTGTATATTACAAGTATTACAAATATTTGAGTTATTATCCCCTTTTTTACAGTTTTAATCACACGCTCCAAACATAAAATTCTCAAAGTTGGTTTAAATCAAGAATGGAGAAAACAAAGAGACTTGCCGGAAAACCCAAATCGTGGTGGACCCTTAGCAAATCTTCCAGATTATACATTTTTGGATGGAAGACCCACACCTTTAGGAGTAAACAAATTATCATATTTTGTCTAAAATTTATTAAATACTTTAAAGCCTCCAAAGACTTTAGAAATGGCTTTAACATTATTACCTTTAACATTATATATTAACATAATAACATTTTACAAATAAGTCTATAATAATCAACAGTAACATAATAATTACTAAAGAGTAATCATATATACAGTGTAATCTCAATAATACAGCACTATTAAACATGGGTGGGTGCATGATTATTAAAATGTTTGAATTACTGGATTATAGCAAAAAAGTCATAGTGATATTATGAATAAAATAATGCATTTCATTGTGCAACGGCCTATAAAACAGATCAGTCTCGTCTGAGTTATAGATTTGGTCAGGAAGAAAAGCAAGTTCTTCTAATTTGTTTTTAAAATGCTTGATAAATGGATATACTGCAAATTCCTTGTTTAAATTTATCCAGACATCAATCTCTCACATGTAAATCATATTTGTTTTAATTTTTTTATATAATTTAAAAAATAGTGAGGCGTTGGGTGCCGGATTATTGGATGCCATGATTGAATATGTGATCTATCAAAGTGCCAGATTAGTGAGATTATACTGTATATATATATATATATATATATATATATCTATATATATATATATTGTTAGTATTATTGTGTTATTA